TTTGAGGTCATTGTAAGGACTCTGGCTTCTGCATGCAATGAAATGAGAAGCCAGTGCAGGATTTGAGTACAGAAGTGTTATGGTTTGGAAGTGAGGTGTCTCCCAAAAGCTCATGTATGAGACAATGCAAGAAGGTTCGGAGGAGAAATGATTGGGTCATGAGAGTCTTAACCCAATCAGGGAACTAATCCCCTGATAGGGATTAACTGAGTGGTAACTGAAGGTGGGTAGGGTGTGGCTGGAGGAGGTGGGATTGGGGTTGTGGCTTTGGGGTATATATTTTGTATCTGGCGAGTGGAGTCTCTCTGCTGTCTGATCATCATGTGAGCTGGTTCCCTCTGCCACATTCTTCCGCCATGATGTTCTGCTTCACCTTGAACTCTAAGGAATAGAGTGCTATCTAGGGAGTGAGACCTCTGAAACCATGAGCCCTCAAATAATAGTTCCTCCTCTATGATTATTCTGATCAGATCTTTTAGTCACAGTAGTGAAAATGCTAGCTAAAACAAGAAGTTACTTACATTGCAAAAAGATCTTGGAGATTTCTGTATCAAGGATTTTTATAGAAGGGTTACAAGATTACTAAGATTAACGTAGCACAAAGGCGAATTAGAGCCTAAGAGACATTGCCCATTATTGTTGGTAATGGGTGCTATTCCTTTACTAGCCAGCACTCATTCCCAGCTACTGGGGATGTTGGCCAGTGTTCCCTTCTCTCAAGAATTATCCTTAATCAAAGCTGAAACTAAGTTACAATGATAAAAAGGGCATGTCTGCCACAAGAGGGGTCTGACTCTGTTGTGCAATTTGTGCCACAGAGCTTCCTGTGAGATCAGAATGAGTCTCATCTCCAGCTCAGATGACATTCTTTTTTAAAAATATTTTTAGTTGTGGATGGGCACAATACCTTATTTTACTTATTTTTAACTGGTTCTGAGGATCGAACCCATGCCTCACACATGCAAGGCAAGCGCGCTCCCACTGAGCTACAGCCCCAGCCCTGAGATGACATTCTTGCTAGCTTGCCCTGCCTGAGCTGCTGCCATCCCTCCCCTTCCAGTAAATCATTTCAATAGAAATCTTCATCTGAGGCTGTGTTTCTGTGGAACCTGACCTAAGGCTTAGGTAATTGTCTTTCTACTTATTATATTTTTAAAATTCAATTCATCCTCATCATTTCGCTGGCAAAGACTGGCATTTCCAAACTCCTTGTGGGAGGTCTTAGACTCCGTGGGTACAATTCAGACATACCTGTGTACAAACTCCCCTATTCTTATACTTGACTATAGTCTGCTGTCCAAAGATATGTTTTTGAAATGAAGTTTAATACTGTGTTAAAGTTTTAATATCCATCTTTATTAATTTTATTATGAATACACACTCAAGGCAATATGGGTCAAATTAGGTTCTCATTCATTTAAAAAGCAAACTATAATTACATGGACCACCCAACCCCACCTCCCAGGGGCCAGTTCTAACTCCTGAAGTAACAAGGCAAACTAAGACAAAGTCTCCTAAGCATATAAAATCTGTAGCCTATGTGAGGAATGAGAAAAATAGATTCTCTGATTGCATACAGTAGGAAGATGCAGAAAAGGAGGAAGAAGAATCTTTGCCCATAGACACCAGAGTGGAAAAGATTCTACAAATGTGAACATATCCCTCCTCACTATCTCTGAACTCCATGAGATGCCTTCCCCAGTCCTAGAACTTGTTTTCTCTTGAAATGGAAATATGTAATTCCCAAGTTGGGCATATTTCTTTAGAGTTCTCTCACTAGCTATACAGTTACAAAATGAACTTGCCAAGGCTTGCCCTCACCTGGAATCACAAGTTTTCACAAAATTTATTCAAAAGCCCTAACTTTTAGGAAAAATAGTATACTCTTTATATCCCAAACGGGTCTGCCTCAAGAATCAGCAGAGGCTACCAACTTTCTACCTCTGATCATGGGATGGCTGAGGTCACCTCCCTTAAGATACCTAAAAGCCTGGCCTACATAAAGGCTTTCTCTTTCTACCAAGCACCATTTCTGGGTGGCATTGTGGATTATTGTCCTGCTATAAGATTATTTCAGTAGTAATGAAACACTTCATATACACAGTCTGTGTTCTGGTAATCTTAGACTGCTATCAAAAGTGGGGGAAATATTCCCTGAATTTAACCTGAGGTGGTTATGCATCTCTGAAAAATAATTCAGGAATGTTTAAAAGCACCCTAATTCTTTTTGAGATTTCTTCAAAGTTGTCTTTTTCTAAAAAATCCAGATGACTTATACAATATACGTTTTATTCATTTTAGGTTTAGGAGACAGTTCTCCAGGGAACTATCAGTTTCTATATTTCGTATAGCTTTTGTCTCAATTGTCTATTCATTGTTGTTTGGAGAGAGAATGATCTTAGAAGATGGAGATTGTGTTTTCCTCCAGCAGAAATCAGGCTTGTTTAATATCTATTATTAAAAAAGATAATGTCTCCTTTAGGAGTAAAGTTCAAGTAGATTTGCTTGCAGCCCTTGCTAAAACATGAAGTCGGTTAATCTCAGGGCTATATTTGGAAGTGTTTTGAGGTACCATGATAGAAACTGCCTAGACTGCCTTAAGCAGACTGTCAGTAGCAGTATAGATGCTAATGAGTCTGTTAGTGAGGACTCAGAGGGGAATGGTAAGCATGGTAGGGGGAAAAAACATGTTTCATGATACACTTAAATCATGAGCAGACCATTGGTACAAATATGTGCATTAAAGGTGCTGCAGGTGGAAATGAAAGACATATGATTGGAGACTAGAGGAAAGGGGGATCCTTCTTTCATAGTGACAGAGTTCTTAGGAGATTGTGCCTTGCAGTTAGTAATAATAAAATAAAATCCATGAACAATGAACATGGGATATTTAGCTAAGGAGATTTCCAAGCAAAGTCTTAAATATTAGGCCTGATTATTTTTTCTTGCTGCTTGCAGTAAGATGAAAGATGAAAAAGATAAATTGAGGGAAGAACTGTGAAATGAAAAGGAACCAGGACTTGATGATTTGGGAAATTCTAAGACTATTCAGATCCCAAAAGACACTAAAATTTAAAAATTCACTCTCAGGGAATCATGCTAAGGAGAGAAAGTGAAAGTTATGACAACTTTGCTAGAATTTTGAAAGGAATAAAAAGGTAGAATATCTAAATACACAAAGAGCTCTTTGAAAAGATTAGGAGTGTGATTTATGATCTTTTCATTTTAATGAGAAAAGTCTGGGAATAGAGATAAGCTTATTAGGAATGATCCATAGAGGAGTCTCCCTCTAAGAGAATGAGTTCCTGTGATATATTCAGGAGACCAGCAATGTTCTTGAAAGTGTTATACCAGTCAATACTGCCAACTGAAAGGCACAAAAGCAAAGGAAGGCTATCAGAAACCCAAAATTCTACATGAAGGAAACAGGCTGGTGAAACTACTCAGCTATAAACATGCACCACCTTTCAATAACAAGGAAGAGTGAGCTTCAGGCTCAGAAGATGCAGCCACAAGCCACAGGAGATTCCAGGCCTGTCAACCCAATGGAATATCCTCAGTTGAACTTGAAATATCTTGGGACTGATGTCTCTTTTGTTTTCTCTTTTGAATGGGAATATTTATAGCTAGTATCTTGTGCTTGTTGCACCTTGTGTTTAGGGAGCAAATAAGTTATTTTCTAGTTTTAGAGGTCCACAGATGGAGATTACCTTTTCCAAGGTGGCTCAGACCTGAGATTCACCAATATCTGACTTAGATGGTTAAGATAAAGAAACTTGGGAATTTTTAGCTGATAAGATATAGTTAATGTATTACGCTTTGAGCTGATGCTGTAATTGATTGAAACTTTGGAGTATGTTGGGATGAGGTGAATATATATTGCATGTAGAATGGACATGAATCCTTGGGGTAAAAGAAAGACCAATAGGCACTTCATGTGTCTGTTGGTTTCTAGAAATTTTTGCAGATATGATAAAGTGAAGAATCTTGAAATGAGGAGATTATCCTAGGTAATCTAATGTCATCACCATAATTCTATAAAAGCAGGGGAGGTACAGCTGTCAGAGACAGTGACAGAAGAGGTCACAGTGACATGGATCATAAGTCAAGGAGTATAAGCAACCTCTGGGAACTTAGAAATGTAAGAAAATGAATTCTTCCACAGAGTCTGCAGGTGGAACAGAGCCCTGCTAAAACCTTGACGTTAGCCCACTGAGACTATTTTAGACTTCTATACTCCGTAACAGAATACATTTGGGTTGCTTAAAGCCACTGAATTTGTCATAATTTGTTACAGCAGCATTAGGAAACAAACCTAGAAACCCTGTATATATGAAGCACATGCAGCCTGCTATGCTGTAATAAAGTTCTTGGTCTCTCTGACTAGGATTCTTGGTTTCTCTGGAAGCATCCATGACACAGTGACAAGCTAACTTATAAGGGGGTAAAACTTTAGACACTTCATAATTCTTAACACTTAGTTCATAAAAATGATGGTAAAATGTTTTTCCAACTTTTGAATATCATTTAGTCTTTTAATAAATATACTTCTAAATGAGATACCTTAAAATCAACCTTAATAAGAAATAGTCCAGAATTTGTATTTGGTTAAGTAAATTATGAATAATATTCATATTATAAATTAATGAAATCAGCATTCTTGCTTTTTTCTTGAATAAAAATATTCATGAAATAGCCAGTATCTATTTTTAAGAATTAGTTAAATTAGGTTTAATTATAATAAATAACCCATGCTTTGTTCTACTGTTTAGTGATAGAGTCTTAAAGAATAATATTTCCTTAAAAGACATTATGGGAAAGGGATTTATTTTGGTGGAATAATTCCTAAATGAAATTCCATGGATGACTAAGGTTACTTGTATCCCAGGATGAGTCAGCACTATCTACTGCAAGAAGTTAGGAGGCATTACAGATGTGAAGTAGTTTTTTTAGGATAAAAAACTGGATGTGTGAAAATAAAGAACCAGAGAAGATTCCTGTGTGGTCATATGCATTTATTCTGTAGCTTAAACAAGACAGGTGGTGAATAAATCCACAGTGAAAATGCCACCAAGTGATTAGCAGCTGGCCATGCATACAGCTGATGGTGTTGTTTTCTAATGCGAGCAGTTCATTTGATTCCTTCATGAAATTAACTCTGTGTTGCCCTCATGTTAACATAATCCAGACTACCTTGGGTATCTGTTTGTTATGTACAACACCCTGACCATCTCAGTTCAAAGACAGATGGCTGTCATGTACACATCTGCCAAGTAACAGACAGCATGGAAAATTGTGTATATATGTGTGTATATGTGTATACATACATACATATGTATATAGGTGTTTACATGTATACACACACACACATGTATGTATAGTTGTGGTGGTGTTGTTCTGAAGCCAAAGGTACAGCACTGTGTGACAACAGATACGCCAACACAGATACACAGAAGGTATTCCACCAACTCAGCTGACAACTTCCCTGCATTTCTTTGAGACAGAAATGCTATGTGAGGTCCCATGAGTTGGTACTCATTCCAAGGGGAACAGATCTACCCCCAGGTTTAAGCATGGGTGGCTGGAGAACCTCAGAAAATTTGTTTTAGCACAACCCAGCAGTCAGGTTGGCCACAGTGACTGTGAGTCTCCTGACATCCTGGTAAAGGTCTCTGACTAAAGCATGACTCAGTTAAGGGTTGACTGAAAGATATAGAGACTTGAGAACTCCATAAGAGATAGGAGTGCCTAGTTTATACTGCTTTATGCATATCTCAGCTTGTCTTGGATGCAAAGCCATAAATTCACAGAATATTAGAGCTGGGATAGATCATCTACTCCAGACCCAACCCCTGAAAACTAAAAATGTGGCAGCCCAGAGAGGAAAAGCAACTTGCTAAAGGGAGAGTAATGGTGGAAGGGTCAGATTAGAAAGCAGTGTGCTAATCCTCAGGAGTGCTGATGTGAGGCATCTGGCCAAATTTTTCAACAAGGAAAATGAGATAGCTTAAAATAAACACTTTAATAATAATAAAAAAAAACTCCCAAATGTGTTAAAAAGCAAAACATCAGCTCTCTTCTTAGGGCGTTCTCCCTTTCTCTCTTCTCTCTCACACACACATACACACACACAAACGCTTTTGGTGGATGGAGATATCATGCCATACAAAGACAGAACCCACATCTTCAGGAAGACACAGAGCATGTGTTAATCTAGGTTTTTGTGGGAGGATTGGGCAACTGGCTTATTTTCTAGAACAATGGGTGGTTCGGAAATCAGAAGATCATCCTCCCCAAAGGAGGAGCTCTGGTCTGTGTTCACAAAGTTGGGGATGTCAAACTTCATGAGCCTGTTCAGCTCCTCCTCTGGCTGCCTGCCTCCTTGGATGGCTTCCCGGAGTTGGACCTCGCTGTCGATGGCTGTGGTCTGGTGACAGGCTTTGGCCCTGTCCAAGTGTTCCACTTCATTGATGTAGCAGTGAAAGAGAGACCGGGTCTCATCATTGCCCTGGCGAGAAAACACCTTGTCTGGCTCCAGAGGTTTCCCAAAGTCTGACACAAAACTGTTCATTCTGAATCTTTTCTCTGAAGACTCTGCATTGCTGTATAGAAAGTAAAAACAAAAGATTGCTTATGCTGCAGCTCATTCACGTGCAGGATCATGGTTTTCTATGTGTAGGGCATGCCAGCATATTTCCACCAAGCACCTACCAACGTCCCTTTAAGGACACACACACAAACATCAGAAATGAAAAATATCACTTTTGAATATGTACAAATAAACCCAAGACAAAAGCATCAAGATGAGAACCCCTGGATCATCTGGAAGACAGACAGCTTCCTAGGGAATCCCCCAATATTCTGCACATACACCAGTGTATCTCAGGGGATTCTTCAATCTTCCACATCAAACTTGCTTGAAGTGCTTCTTAAAATACAAATCACCAGGTCACAGATTCTCAGGTTCTTTGCAGATAAGCAAAGTAATGTATTTCACAGAATCTCCAAGGATCGTTACTGTACTAAAGTTTTAAACCACTGGCCTACATCATGCTGGCCTAAACAATACTTACTTTAATGAACGTATCATCTTCTTGGAGATTCCAGTTTTTAAATGCTCCCTTCCCATCCCCACATGAAAGATAAAGTGCCAAGACCAAATTCTCATGGATCCTATTTACAGGTCTGGAAAATCACATATCTGTCTCTAACCTCCAAATTATCAAGATTTCAGATTGTCAGAAATCCTGGAAACTTTGCAATCCAGTAGATAAGGTATTTTATACAGCTCCACCTGCTAATATGATTGCCTGGGTAACATCTAGCCAGGAATTCTATCCAGAAGCCTGACAGTGATGGTGGTGGTTGTTTACTTGTTTGATTGTTTTGTTAGTAAGAAGCCTGGTTAACAAATTTCATTGCCTGCTAATCTAGACAAATGTGTCAAGAAGATCAAGAGTACCACATCCACTGTTTCCTGTATTTAGAATTCACTTTAGACTCTGGATGTGTGCTTTAATGCAAATTTAAGTTGCCTTCTTTGTCTTTCTATAAATAACTTTTCCTTCAATTGTCACTTCCTTGGGTTTAAAAGATGTTTGAGAAAGGGAATGAGTGTGCCAGCAACCCATGATTAATTAGCTAAAATGTCACCCAGGATAGGGGACCTTAAAGCATTTAGAAAGCATATGATTAAGACAGCTGGCTGCAGTGATGCACACTTGTAATCCCAGCAGCTAGGGAGGCTGAGGCAGCCTCAGTAAGGTGAGTTCAAAGCCAGCCTCAGTAAAAGTGAGGCACTAGCAACTCAGTAAGACCCTGTCTCTAAATAAAATACAAATAGGTATGGGGATGTGGCTTAGCAGCTCAATGGTGGAGTGCCCCCAGGCTCAATCCCCAGTATGCCAACCACCCCTCCCCCCACAAAAATAAGATTGCCAAAGCCAATGCCATTTCCAGATTCTGGGACCGAACAGCTGGGGAAATACTTTTCTGCCTGCCCAGGGCACCAGCTGAGCACAAAAGTAGACCCAGAAGCCCACTGTGAGAAGTGGGCCTTCTTCATACAAGCACTTCTTGAAACTAAGAAGTGGCCCACAAGCCATCTTTGCTGAAAGACCATCATGCCCCCATGAACATGCATGCCCTATAGGCTTTGTCTCGAGGATCTCTTATTGTGACAACAGTGCAATGTGTTTGATGTCCGCCCCCTCCCAGAACAGAGAAAAGTTCATCTCTGTACTCTTAGTGTGGTAAATGTTAAATAATAAGTACATCTTCCTTCTCTTTTTTTCATTAACTGATAAACTAAAGGGGTCATTAATATCTCTCATCTGCAAAATCACCTTATATGGTTTCAGTTACCTGAGGTCTGAAAATATTGATGGAAATTTCCAGACATAAACAATCCATAAGTTGTAAAATGTCATTCTAAGAAGCATGATGAAATTTCACATAGCCCTGCTCTGAAGGACATGATCATTCCTTTATCCAGTGTATCCATGTTTTGGATGCTACCTGACTTGAGGCAGCTGAAGAAGAGAAAATGAGAATACACACATCCTCATGACTTTTATTACAGTATAGTATTATAATTGTTCCCTGCATTTCTTTGGGACAGAAATGCCATGCGAGGTCCCATGAGTTGGTACTCATTCCAACAGATCTATCCCCAGGTTTAAGCATAGGTGGTTGGAGAACCTCAGAATATTTGTTTTAGCACAACTCAGCAGTCAGTTTTGCCACAGGGACTGTGAGTCTTTTATTGCTCTGACATCCTGGTAAAGGTCTCTGATTAAAGCATGACTCAGTTAAGGGTTGACTGAAAGATAGAGACTCGAGAACTCCACAAGAGATAGGAGTGCCTAGTTTATACTGCTTTATGCATATCTCAGCTTGCACTATTGTATTGTATTCTACTATTTTGTTGTTAATCCATGCTTAATTTATAAATGAAGCTTTATTGTAGGTATGTATGCATATGAAAAACAATATACACAGTGTTTAGTATTATTCAAAACTTAGCAAAACACATGCCCCATAGATAAGAGGAACTATTGTATATAGAAAAACTATGGCCATGAACACTACTTGGTTCAATTCAGTTACTATGCCACCACTGGGTACTATTTTAAGTATAAAATAAATTCAATGAGTTTTTCTATTAATATATATACCCGTTTAACCACTATCCCAATCAAGACATAGAATATTTCTTACATTCAATTTCCACCCCTCAGGTAACAATATTCTGACTTCTACTCCACTGACTAATTTTGTCTAATTCTTGAATTTCCAGTCAACTTCCACCTCTTATAGGTAATGTTTTGATATTTATCACCACAGATTAGTTTAGTCTATTCTTGAAATTCATATAAATGAAATAATAAATGTATAGTATTTTGTGCCTGGATATAATGTTTCTAAGATCCATTCCTGTTGTTGCATGTGACAATAACCTGTGCTTTTTCCTCCTGAGTAGTTTTCCATTGTATAAATATACTACTATCTGTTTATGCATTCTCCATTGAAGGTCATTTAGGTTATTTCCAGCTTGGAGTAGTTGTCAATAAAGCCATGCACACTATTGGAAAGTGTCTTCAAGATCATTTGACCCAGCTATCCCACTCCTCAGTTTATACCCAAAGGACTTCAAACCAGCATACTACAGTGATGCAGCTACATCAATGTTTATAGCAGCTCAATTCACAATAAACAAACTATGGAACAAACCTAGATGCCCTTCCACAGATGAATGGATAAATAAATGTGGTACATATACACAATGAAATATTACTCAGCCTTAAAGAAGAATGAAATTATGGCATTTGCAGGTAAATGAATGGAACTAGAGAATATCATGCTAAGTGAAATAAGTCAATCCCAAAAACCATAAACTGAATGTTTTCTCCGAGAAGCATATACTGATCCATAGTACAGGGGGGGAACAAAGGAACTCTGGAATGTGCAGAGGGGAGTGAGGGGAGGGGGGGGCAGTAGGAATGGGAAGGAAGGATAGTAGAATGAGACAGACATTATTACAGACATTACATACATATATATTACTGGTGTGACTCAGCGCCATATACAGCCAAAGGAATGAGAAGTTATGTTCCATGTGTTCTACTATCATGTTTAGCTAATTAAAACAAACAAACAAATAAATAAATAAAAAGAATATATGGTTTTTATTGCTCTTGAATAAATTCCAAAGAGTAGAATTACTAAACTACATGGTAAATGTATGTTTAACTTTACAAGAAACTATAAAGAGTTTTTCAAAGTTGTTGTTACAGTTTAGATTCTCACCAAAATGTATGAAAATTACTGTTGTTCCACATTTCTGCCAAGTCTGGCCATTGTTAGTCTTTCTAATGTTAATCATTCTAATGGAAATGAAATGGCATTTCATTGTGATTTAAACATGCATGTCTCTGATGTATAATAAAACCAATAAATTACCTTTTCTGAACGTCTGTACAAATCTTTTGCCCACTCTAAAAACTGAAATATTTTTTATTATTGATTTGTAAAAGTTTTGTAATGTATTCTGAATACAAATTCTTTGTTACATATACATATTAAAAGCATTTTCTCTTAACCTGTGACTTTGCATTTTCATTTTCTCAAAGATGTCTTTTGATGAGAAGAGTTCTAAATTTCAATAAGTGCAATTTTTCAATTCCTCTTTTATGTTAGTGCTTTTTATATCTTCTCTAAGAACTAACTGCCTGTCCTAAAGTCACAAAGATGTTTTATGTTTTCTACAACTGTGCTATGCCATACAGTAGCCACTACCTATATGACTATTTAAATGAATTCAAATTAAATATAATTGAACATTTAGTTTCTCAGTCATATTACTTACATTGAAGCTATTCAACATTCACAAGTGGCCAGTGACCACCTAACTGGACAGCATAGAATGCACATCTCATCACTGTGGAAAGTTCTATTAGCATGGTCCTAGGATCTTTTACTTTGGGGACATGAACCATGTTGAATATGGGGTCAAGATTCATTTGCTGATATGTTGTACCTGTACCTGTTTATCCAGTAACTAAAAAATATTTTCCTTTCAATTGCCCTTATAGAAAATTCATTATATTTCTAGTAACAAACATAAGAAAATGAAAAAAATATTCCATTCACATTGGCATAATAAATAGAACACCTAGGAATAAATTTAACAAAATGTGTTCAAGACCTGTATACTGAAAATTTCAAAACATTACAAAAGTATATTAGAGAAGGCCTAAGTGTATGGAGAGACAGACCATGCTGGAGCATTTAAAAGTTTTGAGTAGAAAATCACATAAACACAGACATAAGCTAAATCAGTTTCCTTCTTTGAACAGCTGAAAGCCCTTCAGTTTTGGTCTATGTATGTTCATTCTTTAATACCTTTCAATGGTTGATTTTCATATTTTGCCCATATCCTATAATTGATATCTGTAAGATTATTCTGCAACAAGGTCTTCTACCATTACTAGAATGGAACACACATGCCTAATTCCTCTTGGCCCTTCATGAATGATCTATGGTGTCGTCTCCTGTAAGAAGCCTTCCCTGATTCTCCCAGTCTAGGTTAGGATGTTTCTCT